TTTGAGGTGTTTCCCAAAATTAAATAATTAAGGACAATTTTTGCTATTTATTAAAGTACTTTTTATGTAAAAAAATTAGAATGCTAAAAATAGATATTTAAGACTTTTTAAACTTTTGGAGATTTTATTAACTTCTACTCTTGGTTATTGAAATATTTTTCATTGTTTTTGTGGGGGGTTTTGAATTTGTTGGGTTTTTTTTAGATGTTGACTCTTGCACTCCCTCTTGTGAGAGGGAAGACTGTTTAAAGAAACAGGAAATGTTTCTATTCTAATGTGAGCTATGGATTCCCGACTGTGTGAAAATAAATAATTTTCCTAAGTTAAAAAATTTTATAACAAATGGTATAGAGAGCTAACAATATTGGTGGAACCCAGGAGCTTCATAAAGTCGCAATTACCCTTTCACTTTTAGATATTTTGCCTTTTCCCCTTGTATTTTGTGCTTTTAAAGTCTCACATATTAAGAAAACCTGTCAATGTTTTTAAGTGGTTCTTCAAAAAGAGAAAGAGAAAAAAAGACCCTTATTCCTATTGTTAGAGTGTCAGTACCTGGAGAGCCTTTAATTTTTTCCTTTTTAAAGCTTTGAATTGTTCTGTTTGAAGTTCAAATTCAGGAATAAAACAAGAGTCAAAACTGAAAGTATGTTTCTATATAGCAAATTAATGGACTTAACCAGGAAAAAGCTGTGTTCAGCTCTAAAGCTTGTCACATAAAAGGAATTTAAACCTCTTTGGGGTTTCTTTTTTTTCGGTTTTCTTTCTTTTTTTTTTGACCCCCCCAAAGGCCATTTTTCCAACTTTTCAGAACTACAGAACATGTGTACCTTGATAGTTATGTGTGAAAATTTATAATAGGCACTTTGTGGGGTTGAGTGGAGTCCCATTGAAGCGAGCAGAGGGCTTGGCCTAGGCCTTAAATACACAATTACAATAATTTAAGCTTCCAAGTCAAAATCCATATAAAGCAAATAAAAATTACTGCTGAGCCTTTGAATTTCAGCCTTCACTCTGTATGTATTAGTAGAAGGAAAATTACATTTGAAGTGGTCATCATGCAGATGTTGGCCAGGAGTTTTGACTTTCGTGTAGAATCTGGTTCTTGTCTCTCTGATCAGCTCAAAGCCAGCATGCAGTTAGCACTTGCTCACTTTTCAGTCATGCCCCAAAATCCTCAGGGTGAGCACATCCTTTAATCCACAAATACAAAGGGGATTTTTCCAACACAGTTTGATTTGTATATGCATATTTAGGTGTTAGAGAGAGAAGTAAGGCTGTTGAGAGACTTCTGCAAGATTTAGAGAGAGAAACAGTTGCTACAGATTATAATAAGGTGTAAAGGTTCTTCTTTCCCTAAAATGGAGTAGCTGACATATTAAATTGCATGTGCTCTAGTGATGTGGACTGACTCAGAGAACTTGAAGGAAATAACAGCTGTGCGCATCAAAGCTTAAAAATAGAAACTTCATCAGTCAGTAGCACTTCAGAATGAATGAAGAAATCAGAAAATTATTAATGATAGTGTTTAGAGAAGGGAAAGATTAAGTTCAAACTTTCTGAAGGCAGAATGCTGTCAGCAGTGCTGCAGCACGTCTGTGCAGGGTAGCAGCCCCTTGTCCCTCTGAGCCACTCTCTTGTCCAAACACTGGCACCTACGGCCATTTCAGGTACCCCAAGGTGACTCAGCTTTCCCACCTGACTGGCATGATGAGGTCGGGCATATGGGAGACTCCTGCCCTTCTGGAGTGGCAGCTGGATGCCCTGAGGCATCTCAGATGGCAGCGGATGCTTCAGTCTAAGGAGTGATTGCACATAAACATAAGTACAGACTCACATTCTCTCACATTTTTAATACATAGTCACTGAAGTGGTTTCATAGCAGGGTTTGCTGTAGGTTGTTGTAGAAAGTAATGAGCAGTTTATCTAATTTTAAATTTAGTAAGAGTTCTGAGGTGAATAGAGCAGGTGTACAGCCTAAAATCCAACCAGATATACAATTAAAAACTATCCTAGCATCAAAAGTTTCAGTTAAAAACTATTATTTAAAGTTGCAGTGGATGGTTGTTTTCCAAATGACCTCAAATTCATGAATTCATTCTAACATTTTCCTTTTAATATATTCATAGTTAAATATAACTTGAATGTTGTCCTAATTACATTCTCATGTTAATTTAGCTCTGATTCAGAATTTCTATCATTATTCTTTGTAGAATTGTTTTGAAATGATGGAAAGTTCAGAAAAGATGCTCCATTCTGTGATTGTGCCTTTGAATTATTTATCAAATTCGAAGACAGAAATATAGCTAAAATCTAGTTTGAGTTGTAAATGAGTTTTGTAAGGAGGAAGTGCAAGTCCTTTTTGCAGAATGCCATGGGTACAGCATCAGGTGCTGCAGGAGCACTGGTGGCCCCATGTGAGCAGAGAGGTTCATGGTTAATAAGAAACCTGCACTGCACCAGCTGGCAGATGCTGTCTAAACAGATAAGACAGATGATGTGTGGAAGAGGAGAGACAAAGAGAGATACAGAGAGCCTGCAAAATGACAGTGCAGGTTAGTGACAAAATTAAGAGAAGATCTGTCCCGTCTTGGTCAGAACCAGCCTCACTCCCTCTGTGATGTGCCCTGGAAACAAAAGCTTTCCCAAGAACTGTTTTACTCACATTTCCCACAGCTCATTGCAGTGGCAAACCGTAGAGTGCTAACAACAGATTGTACAAACCATCGTTAATGCAAAATTTGTGGTTGTGGCCCTGAGCTAGGTGGAGAATAAACAATTGCCGGTGAGGCGTGTGCGAGTCTGAGAGGGTGAGGCGCTGCTGGGGAAAATTCGAAAGGAGAAAAGGAAACTTATCTTAATGTAAGCAGCAGTTTTGCTAGAGGTAAGTGAGGGGAAATTCTTCATTTATAAATGGTTCATTGAGCCATGATAATAAAGCATTGCTGCAGAAGAAGGATAATTATCTACTTAAGTATCAGATGCCCTAAGGGTACAAGATTCCCTTCTCTCCTTTGGAAAAATGAACTCAGATTAAATGAATGTCCTTTTTCCTGTTTTAGTGTTGACATGGATTTCCTTTTTATGAGTAAAATTAATTAGTTTTTCTATTCCTTTATTCCCGGTATCGAAATCAGGTCTGCCAATCAACTTTGCAGCTCATCCCTTGAGCCCCAAGTTTAGCCAATAGCACAGTTTATGGATGTGCTCTGTACAGTGCACTAGGAAGGCACAAGTTAATTACAAGGGGTTTACTATGCCTGGTAATTTACCAAGGGACACAGCATTGCACAACTGAACCCCCACAAAACTAGGGGTTTTGTCTCCATCCAGGATTGTTTTTTTTCCAAGTACCTGCTTTATAAATATATTTTTCTCATTTCTTAAATGTTAAGAACATAAGCTGCAATGAGCAAAATAGAGAATAGTGGCATAGCTGATTTTGTACAAAAACTCCCTGAGAGACAGATTTTCAAAGCAGATTAGCACCCACAGCTGGAACCAGTCTTCTCCTGTTCTCTTGGGAGCTGCTGCAGGTAGAGCTTGCTCAATTCTGCTCCCACTATAGCAAATGTCCATTACAGACTTGTCTGTTCTCATCTAGATTTAGACTAATGATCAAAACCTGCCACTACATCCTTACTTTGAGAAAATGTCTGGTTTTCTGTCCTATCAGAATGAGAAGTGTGATTCTTATAATATAACCTTGGTGTATGTAAACATGTTGTCTCTGTGCTTATGGAAATAATTGATCTTTCACATGTATTAATTTCTCCTTATTTCAAATGTCTCACGTGGTTTTTGACAATCAGGTTGATGTAACCTTTTTTTGAACCTGTTAACTGCAGAGCAGCTCCTAGTTACCTTTCCTAGATTATAGAGAATATTCCTGAACACCTGCAGGCTTCAAGATGCAGTAAAAATAAAGATGACTCTAATACAATGGTATGGAACTTAATTTTCTTCAAATAGTCCTTAGAACACTTATTTTAATACTGGAAAATAGCCTTTGGTCATGAAAGTTCAAGTGGTGTTAAAGGTTACTTTAAGGTCTTCATTCTGCAAATTCTATTCTGTAAGTCAGCAAAGAATCCTGTCTGCAGGGAATTGAAATGAGAATCAAGTACTTGCTTGTTGGATCTACACAACTGAGGCTCCACTAAGAATTCTGGACCATATTAATAATGTTGCATAATTGATTTTCAAGTGAGAAATCATTAGCAATTATTAATTACTGTGAATACAGCAGATCAGATGACTGTAAGCAGCATCTGTGTTATTTACTTCCATTATTTACTTTATAGCTTCATTTCACTGACTCTCAAATTGTAGTCACCAAGGTAGAATTAAATCAAAGTATATTTACAGGGTTGTGAACACTGTGCTTAAAAGAAAATAGTCATAATTATCTTAATGTATTTTTTAAAACACACTATAGTTACAGCAGGTGAGCATTCCTTGTGAATTGTAAATAATGTACAGAAATAAGTGATCAGCATAGTGCCAGCTTGTCATATTTATGTGCCTAAAATTGGAGGTGTAAGATAAAGATTTTCAAAAATATATACCACATATGGGGAAAAGCATTGTAAACTGCTGTCTCAGACAACACATCCAAAGCCCTCTTAAATTTCTTTGGCTTTTTGCCATTGTTAATCACAAAAGAAAATGTCTCTGACTTTCACAGGCGATAAATATCAGCATTTCTCCATTGAGACAGTAAATTTGAGTCTGTGAAAATTTTGCTTTCCCTTAAATGTCTCAGTATAGCACAAGAGCCTTAGTAATTTTACCCATATCTGAGGGGTTTGAGGAAAAGAATTCTGAACAAAGCATGATATAATTCCCTGTAATTAGCCCTATGTTTTTGGTGCTCTTGCTGTTTGACCAGAGAGGAAGGGCTCAGGGGACTCCAGGGTGATCAGAACCAGGTACAGGCTGGGGATTGAGAGTGTTCTGGAGCACTCAGATTTGTGTTTGTGCCTTGACACTGCCACCTTCAGATGTCCTTGTTTGTCCCCTGCGGCCGGTGGAGCGTTTCCGTGACCTGCGTCCCGAGGAAGTGGCTGATTTGTTCCATACGGCACAAAGGGTCGGGAACGTGGTGGAGAAACATTTCTGTGGCACTTCGCTCACCTTTTCCATCCAGGTTTGTAAACCAGTCAGCTAAGAAAGGTTTAATGGCTCGTTTTATCAAGATTTCATCCTTTTCCCCTTCTCCAATCACAAAAGGACATTGGAACTTCAAGGGGCAGTAAATGCAAAACAACATAATAACAAACAAGAAGCCAAATAACTGCATTGTAGTCTTCCAGATTTGCCATTGAGAAATCTAAAGAGGAAACCAGTGGGAAAATGTGGTTAATTAATAGCTGCAAAACCTTGGATAAAGCCAGCAAACACTCTCAAATGCTGTGCTTGTTTGTGAATATTTCAGGAAATATTCTTCCTTCAAAGTGTTTGCAGGGTTGACCTCTCAAGAAGGCAGCCACAGCCCCTGTTCCACACATAACCCACTGCATATACTCGAGATAAGTGATCCCTCCTCACAGCTATTTATATGCAGGCAGAGAGCTGTAGCCATGTAAATACATTATAAATTCTGACCTTTCAGTTGTTTGTGCTGGGTGTTTTTATAACAAAAATGAACTCTGTTTAAAGCAAACCAGGAGACTAAGCCCATTCATTAGAATCAGAATTTAAGCAAGCATAGTTTGATTAAATTTTTACTTCCACGTGTGATTTTATGTTCACAAGGATCAGAAATCTACTGCTAGCTATTGAAAAATATAATCTGAAAAAATGAAAAATAGAAACTGTTGTTTTTGTGATGTGAGATACTTTCCCTCTTTGCTGGGGTCTGATATGGAAAGGAGCTTTGTCCAAAAACTTAGTGTTGAATGTTCCTCAGGAAAAATATGCTAATTTAACAGACAGTGTAATTGATGTAAATGATTATTAATATTTCTGAATTCCTGTGTGATCCTTGTTAGATCCTCTAATCTGAGACTTTTCCCTTTGCTTACAGGATGGCCCTGAAGCTGGACAAACAGTGAAGGTGAGTACTTATTATGCAGAATACAAATTAAGACACAATTATAAGAACTAATAGAAAATCAAAGCTCATCATCTGCATTGCATTGCTGTATTGTTACTTTATCCTTGAGATCAAAAAATCCCAGGTGTACAATAGCAGTAAATACTTTTTATTGAAATTGCACAAGATAATGTTTACACAATTTCTTCATGGACAAAAATTTTCAATCACAAAAATATCTTTTCTAAGGTGCTGGGTGCATTTATGCAAGGAAGGCCTCATGAAAGAGGCATCTGGTTTAGTTTTTTGTTTGTTTTATGGAGAAAATATTGCCCTTCCATTCATGATCTCTTTGTTTTTCTGTTTATTGCCTAATGAATTGTAGCTAATTGTAGGAACAGTTAAACTGAACCACATTATGAAAATATACCTTTTGTCTATGCTTCCTCTTGGCGTATTCATATCACATTCTTGTTACTGAAGTTCAAATGTAATGGGCCCAGTGAAGCTAAAAAACAGATTTTAAGTGTACTTCCAAAAAAAAGGTGGGAGGGTGGAAGGGAAGAGAAGGATTTATGATTATATTCTCCACTTGAGTAATAACACAGATAACATCCAAGATATCTCTCCAGCCATGTTTCACTGCCTCATAATGCAAATGCAATTGCATGTGTAGTTAGATGATATGCCTCAACATTAGATAAAGACTATTTTTTACATTTGGAATCAGAGGAAAGTCAAATATGGCTATGGGTTAGCACTTTGTAAAATCAAATTAGATGTCTCGGAGAACCTGTTTGAGTTGATTAAGATAGCTGTAACAACCGAATGATGGTGGAGAGGAACATTTTACTTTTTTTTCAATTTGCTGAATTGACCTTATTTTTTTCCTTCTGCTTTTGCTGCCTGCTTTGAATATTTAACAGAGAGGTAATAGGGAGAGAGAAGAAGAAATTAGAATATCATCAAGCTTGGGATGTGATGAAGGAATGTAACATGATTTATTTCTGTACTGTGACAAAACAGATTCCTTGACTTTGAGTGCATTGGGTGGGTTTCACTGGCAGTGTCTGTGGATGGGTGAAATAATATGTTAAAATAATTTTGAAGTAAATTTTGTTATTATCACCAGGATGATTTACAAAGAAAATATGAGGGTTTATTTTAATAACTTGGACAAGTGCTTTCCTCTTTGGTAAAAAAAGGTGTATAGGAATGGTTATATGTGAGAAAAATTATTTATATGAGCAAGAAAAGGAAGATGTAAAAATTCCCATCTTCTGTGATTGTGAACAAATGCTTATGTAGACCTTTAAAAGGTAGAAAGTTCTGTATTGCTTTGGGTTTGTACTGGAAATAAAGAGCATTAAGTGTTAATTGCAAAATGGCAGCTGCCCTTCATGCCTCCTTCTCACACTTTTTATAAACACTGAGATGAAAATGACCCTTTCTTACAACTGGGAGCCCCTAGACTTTGCATAATGAGTGTGTATTCATAAATCAGAGGTTATCAGGTTACATTTCTCTACTTTTATGTGTCATTGGGCAACACTGTAATTTATCATCATCACTTTGGGGTGTTTATCATCCAAAAATGCCAACAACTATTTTCTTCAGAGAATTTAGAGCTTTCAAAACTTCAATCAGGAAAGAAATTACTGTGATCAAGATCTTCTTTTAAGTGAACAATAGGGTGGATACATAAATAGCAGGTTTCATTTAAACTTTCTGAATCACAAAGCTTGAAAAAACACCTATGTGACCTACAAATAATTTATGAACCTTAAATTCAATGTGTTGTTTTGCTGGATGTGGATTTATTTGGGTTTTTTTCCTCTATGAGAATCTACAGTAATCCAGTCTCCTCTGAGGGAGCTTTTAATTAAAATTTCTGGAACAGACCAAACATTAGAAAAACATTCTAAAAGTAAAAATAGCAAAACATCACAATAAATATCCAAGGGAGTTTGTGGAGACTGTTTAAGTAGGGTAGGCAAGCATATCTCAGGAGCTAATTAGGTGTAGCTGATTTTGCTTTGAATGGGGTTACATGCCAGATTGTTTCAAGAGTCTTTTCCAGTTGTATTTTGTATAATTCTGTGTACCTGTGTAAACACAGGCTACTGTATGTGCTATGGAGGAGAAGAAATACAGGAAGCAGGAGAAGAGCATTGACTTTTCAATTGCTCAGTACAAAATTTTACTATAAAATGGGAAAAGCTATCAGCCTGGCTGAAGACAAAAACTGAGAAATGTAGTCTGAAAAAGATTAAGGAATTCTCCTTCTTTGTCCACAAGAAGAAATGCTAATCCATGTACAAGAAAAATCCTGAACCTGAATATGTGTCTTAGGTCTTTCTTTGCAATGGAGATGCTGAAAATTATATGTGCAATGTATGCAATAAGTTGGCAGATGACCCTTTGCATGTGATTTTGGCTAGAAATCAGTGATAAGCTTGTCTGCCAGTGTTATATGTCCCTTTTGGTGGTGTGAAAGCTGCTGGTGTGTGCATTTTGTGTTAAAGCCTTTCTAGTTACCTGATGGGAAGCTGTTCATGATCTAATTGTAGTTTCATTATTGCTGTACTCTTTTCCTCCTTTGCATCTAAGGTAGCAGAGCCTGCAGGTCAATGTTCTGGGGCAGCTTATGGCCCTTGCAAATCCCTCTTTACTGTGGGTTTTCCCTGGATGGGTCTTTGGAAGTAATTAAACCTTACCCTCAGTTCACCAATATTTTTAAGTATAGATGGGTCTTTCCCCACCCTTTGGCAGCAGGAAATATACACATGGTAAAGAATTTTGAACCCTGTCAAGTATCAGACTTCAAAATAATGCCATATATTGCTTCATAATATTTTTCATTGCTTTCCACCTATTGTACCTATTCCAGCCCTTTCACCTGTTTATGAAAGAAACAATTGTCCTTCTCCAAGATGGTCACAGAATTGCACTGTTTTATTGTGAGAGGTTCTTGAACCACTCACAACAGAGAAATTGAGCATCTCTGGCACCTGAACAGTGTGTCATCAAGCAAAACCATCTTTTAGCATTCAAGAGATTTTGAATACTTATTTCTTATTATTTGAGAAAGGGAGGAAATTGTGTTTAGGTCCTCCCTTAAAGGCTATTAATCTCTGCAATTTTGATCTCTCTTTTTATCGGAGAACACAAAACCCATGGTGTCCTTGTGCCAGGAATGGAGGGTGAGTTTCATGCTGGTTCTGTTTGAGAATGCCTTAAATATCCAGGCAATTTCATGGATCAGGGAAATCAGTTCTGCATCTTAATGCAGGGCTCTTATTGCTATGTCAAGTGAGCGACGTTTCAAGATTTCCCTAGTATGTTTTATAGCCTTCTTTTCATCATCAAGTCAGCAAATGCTCTGGCTGCCTGGGTGGATGTATAGCTTAGTGTAGAATAAGCTCTCTGGTTTACCTTTTACGTGAGATTCAATCACAAGAAACTCCATGGATTCTGTACTCTGTAAAGGCTAAACAAATCAAGCTGGCAGGAGCATGAAGCAACTAATTTATCTGTAGAGACAAGATAATATTGCACAGCAAGTGTCCATTGCACAAACACGTATGAACACATCCTCTATTTTGCAGCAGTGTTGAAGTCTCCAGCAGCTCAGCACCTCCTCTGTTATCCATGAGAAAGGAAGGGCCTGTTTGCCAATTACAGGTTCCCCTAAATAAATGAAAAAGCAAAGCTGATGGTGGCAGTGTGGTTATGTGTGCAGAAACTTATTTTATATGTCACACATTCCACTAGTTATTTTACACTGAGAAGATTGTATCATTATTATTTTTTTGATGTACATATTTTTCTTTTCCAGATGTTGTTTAATGCTGTGTTAAATCAATCCACCTGGCTTGCATTCCTGAGAAATCTTAACCTGAGCTGTAGAGCCCAGGGCTCACTTAAGCCCACAGCAGCCTTTTCTTTCATCCTCTTTGTCTATTTATGTCTTGACCTGAAGTACTGGACTTGAGGTTTGAGTCTTTAAATTGAATCAGATCTCATTGCAGACTAATTGCATCGGAAGGATTAAATTCACTAACTGCAATGCTTTTGATGCCTCAGCCTTCTTTCCCTGCAGACCAACAGACATGAGTCCTGGTTTAGTGAAGTACTAGAAACCCTCTTTTGCTGTCTTAGAAGAACAAAGAAAAGCTGATGCTTGAGAAATGCAAAGATTTTTCTTACCTTTAAACAAATCTAAAAATTCAAATACAAAAAGACAAGGAAGCAACAAGTTGTTGAAAACCAGATTGTACTGAAACATGTGAACAAATCATCTCCTGTGCTTTAATCTTAAGAATGGTAATTCTCTTGGAAGCTTGTGAGACATCCAAAAATGAGTTGAGGAAGTGCAGCAGTGTCTGAATTGCTCTGAGAACCACACTAATATTATTTGGTTGGAGACTATGTAATATTGTGGACAGGTAATTGGTACAGCAAATTCAGTAGTCTCAGGGCTGCTATGTCTGTTTTGAGCTCAAAATTTTCTTTCTATTTCAGAACTAAATTTAGTTTGGGGTGGTTTGGGGTTAGTGATGTATATTTTCAAAGCTAGGATTATACTGCCCCTTACAGAGACAGAGAAGCAGCAGGAGCATCCAGATAGTTTCTCCCCCCTTTCCTTGAAGTCTCTTGCCAGCTCTATGGTTTCTACTCACTCTAAATAATAATTCATGCTCTTTCCTTCAGGGATTTTTTCAAATCTGCCTTGTGTTGGTCTAAATCTCCTTTCAGTCCTTTGGCCAGACTTGTGTTTTCTATGATGCAAAATAAATCCTAATAAGTCTTTGCTTTGTCAGGTCCTTACTTCAGTTCCTAACATGTAACATTTAGTTTTTGACTGAACAATAAGCTTTTCAGAAAAAGCATATTGCTGTTTTGTTTGCAAGGCTTATAGATGTAAGAGGCACTGGTAAATCTGTAAACCCTTCCCTGAAACAAATTATATCCAGGGTCCAGAATGAAAACAATTCTTTTGGCCCCCATAATTTTTACAG